GATGGATCACGCACTTGCTGAGCAGCGCTTTGGTTCGTATGAAGATATGAAAAAATGGCTCGATGAATGGTTCGCGGCAATGGGGGAAGATTTTTACTGGCGTGGTATCCACAAATTGCCCGAAAGATGGGAAAAATGTGTAACTAGCAATGGAGCATACTTTGAATAAAGCTCTTTTTATCATTCTTCTGAATTTAACATGTTTTTTTTTTAAACAATCCGCATTTTATACTTGTACACCTAGTATAAAAATTTAAGAAACTACACTTATTAAATATTAATAGTCATAATCAATAGATAAAATTTGAAATAGTTCCTTTTACGTTAAATAACATTTTGTTACATTTAACTTACTTTTTAAGTGCGTCAAAATGTATTATTTTAATTCAAAACCATGTAATTAAAAAAATGACATCGATTTACGATCCAAATAATAAAATCAAATTTGTCATATTATTTTTAAACGCAATTTAGAATAATTCGTATTTTTTTCATAATTTTGTTATCGTTTTGAAAAATATGTATAAAATATTCTTAAATATTATAATGTGATAATAAAATTATGATAATAAATATTTATGTCGCAATAACATTTTTTCTCTTTCCACACATGTGGCCCATATACCACTGACCAACGTATATACGATTGTTTACTCTGTCCACAAGAATACCTTTGCCATGTCGAAGACCATCCACAAAGTCGCCTTCATACCAACAATTATTATTCCATTTTAGGAGGCCTTTTCCCTGAATTTTATTTTGTTCGAATTGGCCCTGTATAATTCTTTAAATTTATTCTTGCTAAAATTACTAATAGTTTTTCAAATAATTAACATCAAATAAAGAATATATTTTATTAGATGTTCATTAGCAAAAATTATTAAATTGCTTGTCAATTTAATTATGATTCAAATATATTTATCGATACCTTATATTGAACGCCATTATGCCATGTATAGGTTCCTTCACCTTCCATCATTTTTTTGCTAATACGACCGCAATAAGAATTATTGTTGTAAAACTTTATGTCTGCAAATTCATCCGGCAATGAAAGCTTCCATGATGGAACGGTTATTATTTTATTCTTTTCCTCTTGTTCTTCTATGAACGAATCATCATTTTTATTGTAATCATCGATTTCTTCATTTCTCTCTATAGTTTCAGCATCGTCTTGACTAAATCTTTTCACAAACCATTCTTTTCGCAAAAAATATCCGTCCCATCTATATTGACCAAACTGAATTAATAATGTAATAATAGTTTTTAGTTGTATTATATTACATCATATAAAATATACTTGGTTACAAAAGCTGGAAGTATGCTGTTGTATAATGAATAGATAAACTCTTGTTTAGTCGTATATTTACGGCGTTTTTCAGCCAATATATCTTCGAATGGTAATTCGTCGTTCGTAGTTTTTTCGGTTTCTATCGAGGCTGTATCTTCTTCAAATAAATCCTTTTCTTTATGTTCTTTATCGTTTTCCGTTTCATCAGGAAGAATTAAAGATTCTGTTTTTTTTCTACACTTACGTAAAATTTCTTCCTGCAATGATTTCATATCTAATTCTTTTATCATATGTTCCATGTTATTATTTATATATACAATTCATGATAATATGTATTTGTTACATATGAGAATCATGGATGAATCGTGAATATAATCTTATTACTTTTTGCATCACAAATAATACTATATTCACGTGATATAAAATGACGTAATAAAAAGTAGGTTGTTGAATTAGTATGTTATTTTTGTAGATATTTAATGAAGAAGTTATAAGTACTGACTGATAAATCTTTTTCTACATTTAATTTATGAAGAGAAAGTATATACGTCTATACATATAAAATACAAAATGCTGAAAAAGGATAAAATAACCGTAAGATTATATTAATTTATATATATGTGTTTTAGATATAAATTATATGTTTTTTAAATATAAAACATAATATTTAAAATATATTTATTATCATATAATTTAATTGCACCACATATATTTTTACAAATATTTAATTTGTAAATAATTGATTGAAGAAATACGCATTTTATTATTATAAAAACATAATGTATGGAAATAATAAGA